ATTATAATATAATAGATTATAATGTTATATTATAATATAATAGAATATAATGTTATATTATAATATAATAGATTATAATGTTACATTATAATATAATAGATTATAATGTTACATTATAATATAATAGAATATACTGTTACATTATAATATAATAAAATATAATGTTACATTATAATATAATAGAATATAATGTTATATTAAATAAAATTATATTAAATAAGATACTTTGATTTATAAAATATTCAAGGCTGATGTTGACTTGGCAGTCAAACTGTTAAATGACCTCAGTCCACCAATAATTTCTATCCGCGCAAGCAACCGCAATTTAATCGACGATCAACGTTTCAGGCTAATGCAAGCAAGAGATCGAGAACCGCTAAGATGCGTCCAAAACTGCGCCCCGTCGCACGCGTCGAGCATGCCGGAGCTTCCGCCGCCCCCGCGACCGTCCTCGAGAGGGTCGGCGTCAGCGTCGTCGACATCGACCGGCGCGGTCGCCGGCGCCTCGGTCTCGGCAACCGCTCTCACCCAAGAACCGGCGACGTCGCCGACGAACCTGATCGTCGGCCAGACGACGGACCCCCCGACGCCGACGTCGCGACGCGTCCGGTTCCAAGGTGATCTGGACGTGAACGATCACGCGGCTGCGTCCTCCTCGCGCGTCACACTCTCGCCCTCCAACGAGAGGAATTCGTCGTCCTCGCCGTCCCCGTCGCCGGCGTCCTTGTCAAGGACGAATGTGTCCCGATCGAGAAGCTTGCAGCCGGAGGAAGTCGCCGGCTCGTCGACCTGGAGTGCGTACAGTTTCGCTGTTTTGCATACAATTCGTCGGCGAATGTATTCGTAATGTCATCTCTCGCTAGACAGCGGATCTTCGTGCAAAAATATATGCGGAACAATGAAACCAATTATACAACGCATATTTTCCGTTTACCGTTGCGATTCGAATTACAATATGCTATTATGGTTTTTTTCGCATTGTCGACGACGAATTGATGCGTTTGTAACAACTTGTTCATTTGGAAAATGTCCGTCGAATATAATAATATTATTATATATATTATATTATTATTATATCAGAAGGACAGTTTATAAGTATAAGTATATATGTGCGTATTTATTTTGAAAATGTCCTATTATTAATTTAATCACTATTATTGCTATTATTATTATTATATATTATATTATTATATTATATTATATTATAATATATAATATAATAATATAATTACTATTATTATTATTATATATTATTATATTAAATATTTTATGTTATAGATATAATAATATATAAAATATATAATATAATATTATAATTACTATTATTGTTATTATTATATATTATTATATTATAATAATATATTATAGTAATATATAATAATAATAATAGTAATTATATTATTAAATTATATATTATAATATAATATAATATAATATATACTAATATGCTATATATTAATATATTATAATATTATAATATAATAATATATAATAATAATAATAGTAATAATAACGATAATAATAATAACAATGTAGGAAATCGAATGCAGAAAGAAAGCGAAATTCCTCAGGTGAAATTATCATTTTTTTTTGGGGCCCGTAGGCGTGGCAGGAGGATCGAGATCGAGGATCGATGGCGAGGATGACGACGTGGAGAGCTGCTGCTCGACTTGCAGTTCTTCCAGCAGCTCGGACGAGGCGCAAGCGTACGCGCTTCCGCCGAGAAGAGCTTACGGCGGCGTCAGGATCTCGTACGTGCCGAACGACGCCGTGGCTTGCGCGAGGAAACGGGGGCCAACATCGTCGCCGTCTTCGAACCAAGCACAAAAGGACACTGAAAAGTGCGTCGTGTCTTGATGACGTCTCCGGGAACCTAAGACTACCGTTTTTCTACTGTACGTGCCACTGACGAAAGCGCTTTTACAGCGACGGAACAGGTGTCCGTGCATAACTGTCTCTTGCCACGGATCGCCTGTGCTCCTTCCAGCATACTAATTCCGTGTAGAGAAACCAGCCCGAGCTTTTACGAGAAAGTTCGAAACACTCGACGAAAGGTTTAACATCGTTTCGATGCACTTGGACGGACTTTGATAACTCGATCTTGGATATCGATCGCTTGTTTTCGACGATAGTTCGGTCGTTCGTGTTTTCTGAAATCGGAACGCATATTTTGGTACGACTTAGTATATAGTGGCCGAGGGGTCGAGACCAATCCAGTGACCTGTAATATCGCTCGCGTGATCATAAATTCATTTTAGGAAATATCAACGACCTAGAACAGTTACCTTTTCTATCTTAACACTATGCCGTCCGCAGATCTTAGATATGATTCTTTCGTTTGACGCCGGTGTAATAGCTTGGAAATTTTAGATTTAAACAAAAATGTCGAAGATGGCGGTAATATAAATTCCTAAAATTAAGATATGTCATCCAAGAATTTTCGTACTTAATTTTTAGTTAGATAAGCACAATGATATAGTTAGTTTGCTGTCTTTTAACACCCAAGAAATATAGTTCAAATGTTATTTCAGTTTTTTAAAATGCCACCAAAGTGATACCACCGGCATACAACAGATTGTTTTTGCATAGCACCAGCGTGGTGCCACTGGACAGCATAGTGTTAACAGTGTTTCCTTCGACCCCCTAATTGATCCGCGAAATTAAGAAATCGAGGCTAAAATTGTCTATCATTATTTTTTTCTCTCACTAAATATAGATTTTTATTTATTGAAAACTGAAGAAACAGATAAGATAAAAATGTACGAAATATTATATTATAATATTATAATATAATAATATAATAATAATAATAATATTGTAATAATAATAATATTATAATATAATAATATTGTAATAATAATAATATTATAATATAATAATATTGTAATAATAATAATATTATAATATAATAATATTGTAATAATAATAATATTATAATATAATAATATTGTAATAATAATAATATTATAATATAATAATATTGTAATAATAATAATATTATAATAATAATAATATAATATTAAGCGTACGAAATATTTGTATTCGACACGATTGAATTTTTAAGTAATGTTACTCCGCGCGGTCACTTAAGGGGTTAATATTCCTCCCATCGTCAAACAAGATCGAACAATGTCCAATAGATCGCTATACGTGATCAGAGCACGGACGATCGCGAATAAATGTCACCGGGACAAGGACGCCATTCCGTCGTTGTAGATTGGAGCCAATCGGCGCGATGTATTAACATTATAATTTATAATTATAATTCGAGTCTCGATCGGACGCAGCGAGCAATGCGCGAGGACGAGAGGAAGAGAAAAGAAACCGCCGAAGTTCCTAAATCTATTTCTTCGCTGTGTCGAACGCGCCCGAGATTCGACATCTTCCCGCTCGATGGACTCACACACATGGAATACTCGTCTCTGTGTAAATAGTGGATGTACTTCCGAATGGGCCGCGGCGCCGGGCACCGAAAGCCCGCCGCGCGGCCGCGCTTCTCCTTCTATTTTTTATTACACCCCCCGTCGATGTAATTTGATAATGATAACGTTTATATTTTAATATCACTGTCATTCCCCCTGCGACGCGCGAGTTCGAACCCCCCTACCTTGTAACTCGAGACGTGGCACGGGCACGGATTGCTCCGTGGAAGTCGGGAGCGAGGAGACCACGCCCGCCTGGTCTCCGCACGACGAAGCTCATCCCACCTCTCTGACGTCATTCGCTCCGCGGGACAACGATCCGGCTCCGTAGAAGTCGGGAGCGGGGAGACCACGCTCGCGTGGCCTCCGCGCGACGAAGCTCCTCCCACCTCTCTGACGTCATTCGCTCCGCGGAACAGCGATCCGGCTCCGTAGAAGTCGGGAGCAAGGAGACCACGCCCGCGCGACGAAGCTCCTCCCACCTCTCTGACGTCATTCGCTCCGCGGGACAACGATCCGGCTCCGTAGAAGTCGGGAGCGGGGAGACCACGCCCGCGTGGCCTCCGCGCGACGAAGCTCCTCCCACCTCTCTGACGTCATTCGCTCCGCGGGACAACGATCCGGCTCCGTAGAAGTCGGGAGCGGGGAGACCACGCCCGCGTGGCCTCCGCGCGACGAAGCTCCTCCCACCTCTCTGACGTCATTCGCTCCGCGGGACAACGATCCGGCTCCGTAGAAGTCGGGAGCGGGGAGACCACGCCCGCGTGGCCTCCGCGCGACGAAGCTCCTCCCACCTCTCTGACGTCATTCGCTCCGCGGGACAACAATCCGGCTCCGTAGAAGTCGGGAGCGGGGAGACCACGCTCGCGTGGCCTCCGCGCGACGAAGCTCCTCCCACCTCTCTGACGTCATTCGCTCCGCGGAACAGCGATCCGGCTCCGTAGAAGTCGGGAGCAAGGAGACCACGCCCGCGCGACGAAGCTCCTCCCACCTCTCTGACGTCATTCGCTCCGCGGGACAATCTGGCGCGCTCGTTGCCCGCGTCTGCCCCGTACGCTGTCGGAATAAGATACTCGCGACGATCTTTTTTATTATCGGACTGCGGACTTTCATGCGAGACGAACATATTCCAAGATAATTGTAAGAGGTTGAACACGATGTAACAGTATTCTTAAATCCTTCTGATACCTTTACCGTTTGTATCGTAACTATTAGATTTTAATGTGAACGCATCAAATCCGCGGTCTATTTATTATGGATGGAATTTTGACCCTTAAGCGGACAATTGCTGGCAGAGATTGAATGTTTCTTCATTTAGCTAATTGAATTCTATTTTTATTCGCATCAGTATGAAGCAAATTAATTCAATGATTTCTTTTGTAATCTATCGGTCGGTAGCAGTGATTGCAATAATATTATTTATTTGCATCAGTATAAAGCAAATGAATTCAATAGTGGCTTTATAATCTGCACCAGTATGGAGCAAATTAATTCAATGATTTCTTTTACAATCTATCGGTCGGTAGCAATGACTGCAATGATATTATTTATTTGCATCAGTATAAATGAAGTCAATAGTGGCTTTATAATCTGCACCAGTATGGAGCAAATTAATTCAATTATTTGCATCAGTATAAATGAAGTCAATAGTGGCTTTATAATCTGCACCAGTATGGAGCAAATTAATTCAATTATTTGCATCAGTATAAATGAAGTCAATAGTGGCTTTATAATCTGCACCAGTATGGAGCAAATTAATTCAATTATTTGCATCAGTATAAATGAAGTCAATAGTGGCTTTATAATCTGCACCAGTATGGAGCAAATTAATTCAATGATTTCTTTTACAATCTATCGGTCGGTAGCAATGACTGCAATGATATTATTTATTTGCATCAGTATAAATGAATTCAATAATGGCTTTATAATCTGCACCAGTATGGAGCAAATTAATTCAATTATTTGCATCAGTATAAATGAAGTCAATAGTGGCTTTATAATCTGCACCAGTATGGAGCAAATTAATTCAATTATTTGCATCAGTATAAATACATTCAATAGTGGATTTATAATCTGCACCAGTATGGAGCAAATTAATTCAGTTATTTGCATCAGTATAAATAAATTCAATAGTGGCTTTATAATCTGCACCCAGTATGAAGCAAATTAAATCAATGATTTCTTTCATAATCTATCGGTCGGTAGCAGTAACTGCAATAACATTATTTATTTGCATCAGTATAAATGAATTCAATAATGGCTTTATAATCTGCTGCCTAGTGAAAATAACAGCGTTTTTGTTTAAAATAAAGAGAAAAACAGTGAAAGAATTGAAAAAATGATTAATAGAGCTGTGAACAGTTCTAAGCATTAAAAATTGTGTAGAGCGTAGGGGAATTTTGTAAGGCGAATTTTGGAAAGGAAATTTTGAAAAGGGAATTTTTAAAGAACGCTTAAGGGTTAACGCGACGACTTGCCGGCATTAGAAACGAATCAATAAAGACTGAACTTTGCGCGGGTATCTTTTTCTGGCGTCGTATGCCCTTGCCCAAAACTCTTATGGGAACCTGACGAACTCCGCACCGCGACGTTTCCGCCGCGGCACCGCAGTGTCGCGTTACGCTTGTAAGTACAAACGACAGTTTTTCAACGATGTAGACAATCTGAGGAAGTATTCGGGAAATAAATCGAGATGATGTCGATCGACATGATGTTTGTTGTGTGTTTCAATCGAAATGCTCTCCCACGCGTCGCTCACTTTGACTTCGACTTTATTTACCTTTTTTAAGTAGTTCGTGTCCTTTATCGTGGATCTTTGTACAGACTTTATTTGCAACGTGCAATAACGAACAAATTGTTTCAGAGTATTTCCTCCGGCAGCACGGATCATTGAGAAAGGCGAGATACGGAGATCGAGGATTTATAAAAGAAAATCGTGGATTTATAGTGAAACGAAGCACGCGCCGAAATTAAAACTTTAATAAAGTTCTATGCATATTTTATTGCTCCAGAACGTAGCATTTTATTGAAGTTTTATTTTTGATAAAGAATCTATAGTTCTTTTTGTATATTTCGTTTTTTCATTAAAATATGTTTCTTTAATTAAGCCGGCAGATTTTTTCATTCTCCCTCCTCGACACCATGAACGAACGAGAACCGGTTTCCAGCAATTAAACAAGACAATTGGTACGTAATTATAAGACCATCTGGTGTCTGGCCATTAAAACGGTGTTCCGCGACCACTGCTCTCCCCCCGAGATTGCAAGATAATTTTTAAATTAATTGCGCTTTCGAAAATCAGTTTTGTTAATGATTATTTAAGAGGCTTCTCGTTCGTCGTGAAAAAGTGCGATGAACCGAAGCAAACGAGTCCAACGGTCTCTCCTTAAATATTAATTGTGCGGCATTAAAAAAACGTCGACGGATTAAATCAAGGATGTTTCAAGGTTAATTAAGACTTTTTCAACTGCAACATATTTTTTTGTACTCGCCGCAAGAAAGAAACGGTACGATTAAACGGTGAACGTCTATTAACGTGAAATATCGTCGAACATTAAATCGTGCCCATTTTTTCGATGCAATTTCTTCTACGAATATACGAGTCGACGAGATTCGCGAATGAGTTAAGTCTATAGGAATTCAGTAACTAACACCGTACGAGTGACATCGATATATTCTGTCAGAGATTTCCCAACACAATATGCATCCGTTCTCTCGCAACGCAGGCGTTTCTACACTTTCTGCATGGACGCGAGTGCCGATCGAAATTCTCAACCATAACACTTTCAGGGTATAAAAGCCACGGTGGAAAAAAATAGAAAAAAAATAAAACAGATCTCGAGACCAATTTTCTGCGATCGCACCGCTGAACGGCTAATTACGAAGTCAATATCATCGAATTTCGCTCGAGACCCGACTTTCTACCATGTCCGAGTCGAAACGATAAC